TTCTACCCAACCTCCTTCGATGTTGCTCAAAGTTTTGTATCTTTTTCTACCTCCAAAAAGACATTTTTAGGAACTATTTTAGATTTTTTTACCCAACTCAAAAAAAGTTACGCATTTTTTAAATAAACTCCTCTTTTTTTTTTAATTGATAGAACTTTTTCAAAAATTGACTGATGGGACCAGACCAAATAGAAATATTCGTTTTTTAATGTAGTTTTTAGAAAAAAATTTCAGAAGCTCGGATCTATGAAATATTTTGGTTTCTTCTAAATAACTGTCATTTTCTCGAAGTCCGACGCCTTTTATTTTTTTTACTCAAAAAAAACTTCAAATAATTCTGCAAATATCCGCGCTATTTTCAAGATGTGCCGACAATCGGTTTTAATTTTTTTCTTTTAATTAAAAAGTTTTTTTCAAATTTAGCTTATTTTATGTGACTTTATTATGAAATTTTATTGGCTTCCTCATGAAACATCAGAAGTTATGGCACGCCGTTTTACTATTTAATCAGGTAATATTTTTGCAGAACATAAAAAAAAAAAAATTATTTTTAATTCGAAAAAGAATTTTTTCAGTGAATTCTTTTTATGTACTGACATAATAAAAATATAATTATTTTATGTCCCGACATAAAATTAAATGCTTATGCATTGGAAGAGGTACTAAAAAACACGAATTATAATTATGCAACGACATAATTATAATGATTAGAAATTGTTCTTTAGAAAAAATAAAAACATTTTTATTATCTTGTGACATAATTATAATGAATACAATTCAATTATAATTAACGATAAAATATATTTTTTTCATTATAAATAGCATAATAAAAAATATTAAAATGATGTATCTGCATAAAAAAAAATGGATTAATTTTATTTAAAACAGTTTAAAAATTTTTGCAAAATTTTTATTATGGTTAATCATAATAAAAATTCACAAAATTTAGTAAAAAGTGAAATCATAATGAATACTTCAAAAAAATTTATAGCACTACATAACCAAAATTCAAACAATTTTTATTATGTCCCACCATAATTAATTATACCGATAACGAATTTTAATTATCTAGTAACATAAATTTAATTTAAAGTTTTTATCCTAAAAATAAATAACATAATAATAATACATAAAAATGATCTTGTAACATAATGATATTAAGCAATTAATATTATCTCAATACATAATGTAAATTCAAACATTTCCATTATGTACATAATTTTAATTTAAACATTTCCATTATGTACATAATTTTAATTCTGAATTACTATTATGTACATAATTTTAACCGTAACATTTTATTATGTACATAATTTTAATTCTGAATTACTATTATGTACATAATTTTAATTCTGAATTACTATTATGTACATAATTTTAATTCTGAATTACTATTATGTACATAATTTTAATTCTGAATTACTATTATGTACATAATTTTAATTCTGAATTACTATTATGTACATAATTTTAATTCTGAATTACTATTATGTACATAATTTTAATTCTGAATTACTATTATGTACATAATTTTAATTCTGAATTATTATTATGTACATAATTTTAATTCTGAATTATTATTATGTACATAATTTTAATTATAACATTTTTATTATGTACATAATTTTAATTATAACATTTTTATTATGTACATAATTTTAATTATAACATTTGTATTATGTACATAATTTTAATTATAACATTTTTATTATGTACATAATTTTAATTCTGAATTTTCATTATGTACATAATTTTTATTCTGAATTTTCATTATGTACATAATTTTAATTCCGAATTTTTATTATGGGGATAATTTTAATTCTTATTTGTATAAAATTTTAGATTAAAAGAAATTAAAATGTTATAAATAATTACTCCAAAAATATAAATCTACAGGAGCCAATTTAATTTATGTCACTACATAAAAAAAATTGTTAGTTAAAATTATGCCCTCACATAATTATTAAACTCTTATTTTTAATTATCATGACACATAATAAAAATATTCTTTTTGTCATCAGCTCAACTCAGAATTTTAATTCGTTAATATATTATTATGTCCCTACATAATAATTATTCCTTAAAAAATTTAAGTATAAACATAAAATTAATCTATTATATTTTTATTGTGTTAACATAAAATATGCATTTTTCTTTTTAGTTATTAATTTTAAGATCATTTTTTTCCTTCTATTAAATAGTAAAACGGCATGCCATAAGAAGTTGAAAAATAAAATTTTATTTGAAAATTTTAAATGGTTATCGTCCGAAAAATTGTTTTTTTCTTTCAAAAAAGTAAGGAATAAAGAGGAGGACGATCTGCACTCTAAAATAAATTCATAGTTCTAACTTAATATCTTTAAATAAATGAAAAATATTTTTTTGTATCTGTTCAAGTCAATTTATTTTATATTAAATATTTTACTTTTCTTTGATCCTAATATTCAATATTAAATCTATTTCATCAAATTGTAATCTTCAGTTATTGAGAATCGAACACTTATCTTTGCCAAATTTTTGATAACTACAAACTTGCTCAGAAACGAAGACAATCATCAAGTAAGAAGAAATAAAAAAAATAGATTTAATATTGAATATTAGGATCAAAGAAAAGTAAAATATTTAATATAAAATAAATTGACTTGAACAGATACAAAAAAATATTTTTCATGACCCATTTGCAATATCTTTATATTCAATTTAAGCGGAATATTATAAAAAGTTTTAAAATTTTGATTTCGTTTGAATTGATATAAGTAAAGGAAAAGAAAGTTGTTGCGACATTTTTTGATCAATGAAAATCATGTTTTGCGACGAAATGTGTTGACTATTTAGAGAATAATCACCTCGGATGATGAATAAAAGTAAAATAAATTTTTTTTCGTCGTCATAAAGAAAAACACAATTTGTTAGTTTAGTATACTGAGAAAAAAAAATACTTTTATTTAGCAAATTTTCTTGATACAAGAATTTATGTTCTTGAAAATTTTCAAGAATATATATTCTTAGCTCAAGAAATTGTTAAATTAATTGAAATAATTTTTACTTAATTTAAATAAAGCTATTCTTTTGTTTATCTATTATCCAAAGATGAATATTGATGTTCTTTTCTTCAGAAATTAATAATTAATAATAATAGAATATTCGATCGTCAGCGAGTTTCTTGAGCCAAGAAATTGTTAATTGAGCAAAAGTATTTTTTTCCTCAGTGTAAAAGTGACAGTGACATTAATTTCTCTTTTAGCCAAAAAAAAAAAGTCATTGAATAAGTATTATATATTAATCATATGGGCGAGTTCATTTTTAGTTCGCATTCAAATAAATAAGTAGATTCCCGGAAAAAAATGATCAGACCTGACCATGCCTGTTCATGTATGATCAGGCCTTAAATTAGACATGATCATGCCTGTTCATGCCTATCCATGCCTACTCATGTCTGAAGCGTCAAATACGCTTAGTCCTGAACAGGCCTGTCCATACCTGTCCATGTCTGAAGGGTTAAATACGCTCAGGTCTGATCAGGACTGTTCATGCCTGAAGGGTTAAATACGCTCATGTCTGATCAGGCCTGTCCATGCCTAGAAAAGTTAATTAAAATTACCCTACGGTAGGTTTTTAAGGATAATCAAAATAATTTTATTTATTGATTAATAAAATATACAGTTTTTTGATAATTTAAAAATTTATTAATCGAAATTAATGTACATACACTGAACATATTCAAAAATTTGTTCTTAGCATATTTGGTCCTTAGCATGAATAGGCATGGACAGGTATGATCGGGTCTGAGCGTATTTAACGCTTGAGATATGAACAGACATGGACAGGTATGATCAGGCCTGTGCGTATTTAACGCTTCAAACATGAACAGGGATGAACAGACATGGACAAGTATGATCAGGCCTGAGCGTATTTAACACTTCAGACATGAACAGGCATGACCATGTCTAATTTCAGGCCTGATCATACATGAACAGACATGAGCAGGTCTAATTTCAGGCCTGATCATACATGAACAGACATGAGCAGGTCTAATTTCAGGCCTGATCATACATGAACAGACATGGTCAGGTCTGATCATTTTTTTCCGGGTGGATCTGATCAGACTTGCATAGTCAGAGATGTGATAAAAATTTTTTCTTTAACGAAAAAAATTTTTTTGGTCATCACAAAAAGTGCAAAATTATTTTTATCATTACGTTTAAATAATTTTGAAATAAAAAATTTGTTACATTTCCTATTGGATGTTTCAGTCTGCTCTGCTTCTGCCTAATATTAAAATCATTACTTATTTTATTATTTAAATAAATGTGATGTTATAATGAGATTAGGTTAAATAAATGAATTAGAACTATCACAATATATATTATAAAATCAATTTTTATATTATATTTATGATAAGCTTATTCGATACGTTATGTACTTCATAGAATTGTTGTCACATAAGATAGCAGCACAGGAGGCGGGAACTTCAAGGCGCGCGAATATTACCAAAATTAAACAGCATTGAGCGTGGTTAGTAGTTGGATAGGTGACTGCTGGTGTTACAGCCGTACAATTATATGTAATCATTTTTTTTTTATTTTAATTCATTATAGAGAATTGCGTATGACTCTATCAAATACTATATTCATAAAATTAAGCAAAATAATTAATTAAAAGTAACAATGAGCTTTCAGACCTGACCATGTCTGATCAGGCCTGATCAGGTCAATTCATGCCTGATCAGGCATGGTCATTTTTCATGTCTGATCAGGCCTGATGACTCATGCCTGTTCATGTCTGATCATTTTTTCCCGGTTAGTTACTTCACGGATTCACTGATAGATTGCGGTGCGCACATTGCTGGTAATTAAGAAATTTCAGTTTAATTTATTTAAAAAAAGTTTAAATAATTTCACCTCAGTGTTTAAATTAAATAAATATTTGTATTTAATTAACTGCATGGATTATAATTAACCCTTTAGAGTCTGACCTTGAAACCCCACTCTTGGGTCTTACTATGGATTTGCGCTCTCCCCACTACTCTCACGCGAAGACGTTTCAAGATCCTCTGACTCTAAAGGGTTAATATCATAACAAGCAGTTGTACAACTTAAGTTTCTTGATAAAGTCTCTAATAGAGAAGCAATAAAAAATCACAGATCATCAATGGCTCAATTATTTTTTGACTTTGAATTCCCAAATACCTGTGAATTAACTTACTCTATACGTGAAAGCATTGGTCGACGTCAGTGCATTTTACATAACTGTCATTAAATCATTTTTTTCATTATGTATATACTGAGAAAACAGTTTGTTTGATTTAAATTCATAGATTTATTTAAAGTAACTTAAAAATACGTATTCAATATGAACAAATTTGTTTGATTTAAATTTGGATTACTTTCAACCAAATACTATTTTGTTTTGGTTTATTTGATTGAATTCGCCTATTTATTTCATTCAAATAAGATTTGCTAATAGTTAACAAATCTCGTTTGGAATAAATCATAAGAAGTTTGTGTCGCTACTGTCGCTATTTAAGTTATCGTAATTTTAATACCTTTATCGTTGCCTGTTATAATTGAGTAATTTTGTATAAATACATAAATTTTTGATGAATTTAATAATGGAAAAAAAACTATCAAAATCCAACTCGGATCTAATAATTTTATTTTATTAGAAGATACCCCAATATAAATTATATAAATAAACTCATCCTCATTGCTTTCATAATCCTAAAAATATCTCAGATATTATTTACTATGTTACAGAGCATGATTTCATTATCAACATTCAAATACAACATTTGTTGATAGTTAACAAATCTGATTTGACTGAAATAAATGATTTTAAAGTATTAAAGAAATACTTGTTAACTATAAACAAATAACTATTTCATTTAAATAAATCCACTGAATAAACCATACCTATCTTTGTTTCAAATAAATTCATTTAATTGTGTCAAATAAGTATTAGTTGTTGGTGTTTAAATAAGAGATTTTTTTTTATACTAAACGAGTCTCATTTCAAATAAATTGTTCTCTCAGTGTAGCTTGTAAACTTGTTCAACATATAAAATCGTTTTGGATATCGATAAACAAAAATAAACAAAAAACAATATCTTACCTCATCATCAGAAGAATGTTCTTCATAATCAGATTCTGTCTTTTTAAAAACAAAAATAGAGTCCGAAGGACTCAAAATTCGACTGTTACCAAATTGAGTCTGTTTATCAATCAACTGATTGAATAGATCACTAGTTTTTATCATATTATTAATCAATTTATTTAATTCGCGAAACTTTGAAAAGTTTTAGGTCCTTTGTGAAAAACTGAAGATAGCAGTTAAGTTTTATAACTGGTTATTACTTTTATGCTTCGTCAGGTTTATTGGTGTCTTCAAAAACTATCATCCGATTTGATTCGTAGTAATACTAACTGATCAGTCTTCTGTTGACACCTAAAATAATATTGAGAAATAAGTTTTTTAGAAACTTGAAAAAAAAAAAAAAAATTATTATTATTTTAAATATTGAAAAATATTGGTTAAAAAATTCATGTCTCATTATCTCACGTTAAATTACAAAATAAAGTTACTGATTATAATAACTAGAAATATTAATTTCGATTGTATGTTTTTGGATAAATTCCATATAAATATATTTATTGCATTACACTGATGTAAGTAAAAAATTATTTCTTTCCCCATTTTTACGTCTTATGCTCTATAATTTTTAATATGGATACCAATGTATGGTATTACCATAATGCAAAAGTAGTATATAATAGAAAAAATATTTATATTTTTGGATTTCTCAGTCAAAAAATGAATACTTATTTTTCCTGTGTCAAAAGTATCAAAAAACAAAACAAGTGCATACATCTAAGCAATTTCCTCGCAGAAAGTTATGAAAAAATTTTGAAACTGAATGGAACATTGTCATTTTTATCAATTTTTCATGTATATATATATATATATATATATTACGATCCACGTTTTAAAATATTTTCACGTTACTATTAAACTTGAAAAATTTTGACTTCTATCAATAAAGTTACGCTTGGGACAGCATTTTCTTAATAAAAACTTTTTTAGTGATAAAATTTTGACCGCTCAAATTCTTAACAAAATTCTAAAATAGATCTTTCAGACACCTATTATACTAAATATTGACATTATAACTTCATAGACGAAAATTCTATACCTAATTGAATATTTTAGCAACCACTTGAAAAAATTAAATTTGCATTCGACTATTTATGCCTCTGATAACAAGTTAAAATAAAATAGTTTTGAAATGGGATAAAAAAAAAAGAATATTATTAAAATTAGATGATTATTGCTATAAATTCAATATACCTTTAAATTTTCTGTGTAATTGTCGAACCCCGGTTTACAACTCAAAGTACACGTGTTTCCAGAAATAACAAATCAAGTTTTCAGGTTATAAACAAAAATTTATTATTATGTATGAAATGGTTTAAATTTTTATGAATTATGAAATTCAACAATTTTGTCATTAATGTATTTTTTTATCGATTGATATTTTTATATTAAATTGTCTTTATCATCATATTAAGTCCGAGAAAACACACTGTACTCAGGCAACTTAAAAATGATAAATATACATATATATAGATATATCTATTTAGTTGTATTAGTCAAAGGCTCTTCCCACCTAAATGTCTCCCACCATGCGGCTATTTAATATAGTTTAGCAAGTAATTTTGTCATAGGAATAGGAAAAATATTATGATGGAGAAAAATGTTTTTTTTTGCAGGTTCAAGTATATATCTATAAATATATAAACTGATAAAGTACATTCGCGGGGGTTGCAAGTTGTAATTGTAACTAATAACTTTTTTATCTTTATACTTTACTGAAGCAAATTTTAATAAAAATTAGAACTCGTTTTTAAATAAATAAATATGATTGTCAAAAAAGTGGGTTGAATAATTATCAATAGAAATAATCAAAAATTTTTTAAAAATATTAATATATCATCGATAACTAAATAATATATTTTTTTAAAAATTATATTTTCTGCAGCGTTCAACTACAGTAAAAATGTCCCACATTTTTTAAAAGATACAAAAACTAATCGAGAAATAGAAATTTTCAATAAATTGATTTGATAATAAAAAAAAAAATAAAAAAAAAAAAGTATGATAAGAAAAAATTTCTGACAAGTCATAAAAATTCAATTTTTTTCTTTCATCTTTTTAAAAAAATATTGATATAATTAGATAAATTGTAAGGTAATCTATTAATATATTAAACTTAAAATGATCAACTTTCGTTTTCTAAATGTTATTTAAAAATAACTTAAAAAAACTTATTTATTGTAAATACAAAACATACTGAGAAAATTACATAATTAGTTTTTAATTTCAAGTCGTTTTTCTTTAAAATATCATATACCACTTAATCATTATAAAAAAATAATGCATTTATTAATTGGATGATTATAACAGATCATAATTCCATTGAATTTTCATTATTCGGTATTATAACAGCCATCGTACGAGGTTTTAATAACACATCTCCTTGGATATTATTTTCAAAAGTACAGCCTTTCAAGGATATTTCTGTAACATCCACTAAGAGATTTACACTGCCACTTTTCCCTTCCGCGCTGGTAAGATATTTTTGGGTTTCTAAGCGAATGCCGTACTCCATAAAGCCTGATAAACAGCAATTTGTGAGGCGTATTCGTGATTCATCTTGGAGCTAAAATTAGATTTAATTAATTAATAAATAAAATGAATTAAAATATAAACTTAAAAACCATACTTGAATGCCTTCCGTGCATCTTTCAAATTTACAATCTTTTAAAGTAACTTCTCCAGCAGCATGAACAACAACTGCAGTTCCAAGATTCACAAAAATTGTATTTTCAGCAATCAATTTACTGTTTGGCAATACAACAATTCCTAGTTTCATAACGCTATGATTCGATGCAAATATTTTACAATCTCTTAGCTTAATGATGCCTTTTCTTGTTAAAATTCCCACTAGAAGCTCACCAAGATCAACAGTAACATTATCTAAGACCACCTTAAAATAATAATGTATTTATAATCATTGAATTATTATTACTTGAAAATAAAACCCAAATCAAAACAGTAATATATACCTCCTCTCCAGAAAAATCAAATAAAGATGAACAACAGATATTTTCCTTAGCATGAATAATCGTATTTATACTATTGCCAATACTTTTAATAGTGCCTCCATACTCTAAGCCACCAACTCCTGAAATATAATGTTCTCCCTCTGCTACAAATACTTTATCATTTGTCTCAGAAGCATCTAATGCTTCTTGTAAATCTGCTGTAATTCTGAAAAATGATGATAAACAATTTAATCCATTATTTATAAAATAATATCAATTGAATAAAAAATTAAAAGCACTAATATTACTTTGTTCATAGTTTTATTATTATTATTATTATTATTATTATTATTATTATTATTATTATTATATCAGTTTCTTACTACCTATGTATTTTCAACAATTTTGTAATTTTGTAATTATTTGGATTTGTGGTCAAAAGGAGAATTATCTCCATGATCAGTAAATAAATAAATAAATAAATAAATAAACAAATAAATAAAAAATTATTCTAACTTGATAAATGTATCTTTTGTCACAAATTTATCAACTTTTTTTAAGCTTATAATTGTATCCTCCAACGATCCTCCTCGCCAAACGACAAAAGCTTCCGGTTTTCTATCTAGACTTTCTTTTCTTTTTACTTGTCGGTTTGGTGTGTTAGAATTAGGATTCCGTTGTAGTACATCTCTCATTGCTGGATTTTCAACTACGTTAACTTCTGCTTTAATTTGTTGCATTCTCAAGTGAAGCTTCATAAGTTGACAAGTTTTTCCTTCATCTACCAAAAATTTGGTCTCTTCTGTTTCTTCGTCATCATCAGAAATGTCTGCTTCTAATCTAGATATTTTATCAGAAATATCTTTAGCTTCTTTTATTAAAGTCCTTATAATATCAGCAGTTTCTTTATTTACGTTGTTCCGTTTAATGTCAAAAAATAACCTTAACCGTGTTTCTAAATGAAGTAATACCCAATCGAAGTTTTCATCATCATCAACATCCCAAGGCATCCATAAATGGTTATAAAAAAACCTCAACTGTTCAATGCATTCAGCAGTACCGATTATATCTAATGCACTGTTGTTTTGATTTTTTGTTGGATATAATTCAATCAAAGGTACTTGATATTTTTCTGGCAAATGTATCTCATCTTGTACCGCGATTATTTTTACACAGACAGTCAATTCAGAATAATCAATGTGTTCTGCTGATACGACAACAACAGTAGGATAGTGAATTTGTAAATCTTGACAAGTTAATCGAGGGATTTTCCACAACGCTTGCCAGCCAACTGGTTCAATCACCAATTCAAGGTGGTACGACCATTCTGATTTTATTCTAGATGCTGGAACAATTGTTTCACGGCTTGATAATATTTCGGTAAATTCATTGATACGTTCTTGAAAACTTTTGTCAAAAGTATAAACTTCCATTATTTATTCCTAGAAAATAAATTAACAAGCATGTACGTATATTTACAACAATCTACCAAGTGGCACAAAAGATTTTTTGGTAAAATCTTGTAAAAATTTAATTATCAGTAATTTTTTACTTAAATAAAATTGCTGAATAAAATTTACCTAAAAAGTAAAGACTTTTTTGTGCCGCCGGGGTTAATAACTGACTTATACCGTTTCTGGTGAGTATTTGTTAATGTATTATTAATTTTTTTTTTTTATACTTACAAGTTCAATAAGTAAATCAATTCAACCGACTGATAACTGATAGTTAATAATTTTGGTGAGCTTAGTCACTAATGATAAAATTAGCTATTGTTTGTTTATTTGGTAATTAATGTTGAGAGTGAATCCTTCAAAAATGTTCAGTTGAAAATAGAAATTACGTTACAAGTCATCATCAGCTGATTCAGATGGCAGTTCGGCAGTTCGACAGATAAAGATGATTTGAATTTATGAATCCCAACAGTGGGTTATGTCGCAGATCTCATTAATTATTATTAATAATACACAGATCTCATTAATTATAATATTTTGTCTTTATTTTGATGGAGACGCACACTCACGTTATATGTATGTACTTCCAATCCGTGTGGAAATGATACATACATACGTGCCCAATGGCCGGTGACATATTTGTTTTTAAATCAATTTTATGAGTTCTTAGAGAAATTATAATTTAATTTTACTAAAACTAAATTTATTAACAAAGTACATATATGATTGATGAAGTTAATATTATGCAATAGATTTCTACGAAATTAACCAAAAAATATGCAAGATATTGCTAAATTAATTAATTAATGTTTGCAGCATTTTTTTCAACTAATCCAAATGAAATGAATAAAATTATGATAATTTCTTATGACATCAATATCCCTTGTTCCAGACGACCGCTCTAAATGGGATTAGCAGTATTCAACATAACTTCTATCGTAAAAATGATTAAATTGAAAGAATCTAACATTTGGGAAATTTTAAACTCATTAAAAAAATTAGATTTTTGAAAATTTTGCGCCCACGCAATTCTCGAATTAATCGACTTATTCGAATGGACTCCGTGGTATTTGACGCCTTTTTTTTTTTTAAACAAAAAGCGATCAACTTAATTGTTAAAATCGGCTAATTGAAAAACTTAAAGGTAATTTTAATTAATTACTAATAGAACAAGTTTAATTTTTCGCTATAAAAATATTATTCGATAAACGTCGTTTTGAACTTAATTCTACTCGAAATTTTAATGTTTTTTTTTTTTTTCTGTAAATATTTATCACATATCAACATTTTTTTTTAATTTCTAATTGTATTCATTTTTAATTTCTTCTCTATTTCGGTTTTTCATTACTAGATATTATATTATTTACAATAGAAATTCTCAAGTGGAGTTTCTCACAACCGTGGCTTATCAACTGGTGATTTAGCTCTATGTACATACATCTTTAAAACATCCTTTATAAATTCGATGTTGTAAGATTATTTTTTTATTTTTCGGTCTTGAATTTGTATGAAGTAGCTCGTGGCCTTATATGAACGATGGTTGCTAAGGGAGAATAATAATAATAATAATAATAATAATAATAATAATAATAATAATATATACACCCTCCGAGTATGTGACACGCCTAACCAAGGCTTATAGGCATAATTAATTGTTATTATTATTATTATTATTATTATAAATATTTAATTTTCAACAGTATTTTTATTCTTAAATGAAGTATGAAATATTGTCGAAAAAAATTTCATTGAGTGTATAAAAATTACTTTTATTTTTGAAATCTTAGCATAAAAAAATTTAAGAAAATGTTCAATGCATTTGCTAATTTTAAAATTAGTACGATAAACAAATAAGTAGTTGACGATAAATAATTAAATAAATATATAATTATAAACATCTGAAACTTATGGCCAAATTCATCAATTGAGAGTTTCACTAGTTTAATGATAAAACCAACAAAACAACTTTATAACCCAATATTGAATTATTTATTATTCAACAGTAAGCGTTGATATGGAGCAAGAATATAATTTTGACAGCAATGATTGTAATAGTTCATTCAATGAAGTCATTGGACACATAGAAGATATTTTAATTGGTAAATGTTCTATTTTTTAATAGTATATTGTTTTTTTTGTTCACTTTATTTTATAATGAAATAATTGATGTGTACCAGAAACTGATTTTCAAAAAACTCAACAACATATCTTGGAAAAATATTGGCGAGAATTTGATTCCGGAGAAGAAAATAAATTGATTTACATGATTATATTTGAAGAATATGTAAGTATGAAAAATATTTTTTCAGCCAAGAAAATAATCACTCACATGTTATAGGTGTATATGTATATGTATTTTTTTTTTTTTCAGCATAAAACGATAGAAAATTACATAGAAACTAATTTGAAAAAAATAATACCAAAATTTTCAATGGAAATGTTATTTAAACAACTGAGGTAAATTAAAGTAAAATTATATTATTAAAAAAATATGGAATTTATAATTTCTTTATGTTTGAATTAGTGATAACAGTTCAAAATTAGAAGGTGAAGTTTTCGACATTCTTTACGCCTTAACAGACTTTTTAGCATTTAAAGAGATGATTTTGGATTATAAAGCCGTAAGTAAAATAAATGGCATAGTCAAATTACAATTAGTAATACAATTATAGTAAAAATATGATATCTTTTTATTTAGGTAAAAGAAGGAAAGGTTCAAGATCTAAGTACTGGTATTACAATTACTCCTTTAAAGCTTAAAAGTTCAAGTAATTTAAAGAGCTAGCTTAGAATAGGTACGAATTATTCACAATTCACTCAAGTGTACTTACTTAATATATATAAATATTAATAGATGTATTAATGTACTCACATGGAATGATAAAAAAAAAAAAGCAAATTAAATAAAATATTCAATGTATCAAGGTGAAATTTTATGTATTTAAATTCATTATTAGAAAAAAATTATACCAAATGAGAAATGAACAATTAATTTTTTTTATGTTAATGCATAAGTATCTCCATCTGGACCAATTTGCTATTGGTTTCATTAGGCATTCGGTAAGGTAAAGTACCAGCGAAACTTGTTAATGCTTGTGCCTGCTCTCGTAAATCTCGAAACTGTTGTTCTCTAGTGGCTTCATCACCCGGTTTAGCAAATCGTAATTTTTGGTACTGCCGATAAAGAATTGTCATAGTAGCTAAAAGAACATCTGACAATGTTCCTGAAACTTCAGGTGACACTCTTCTTAAAGCAGTAACTCTTTCATCAACTTCTTGAACATGAAGAGGTAATAATTTTGAATCGGAAATTGTTCGTAAAGCAGTTTGATACTGTTCATTGTGATACTGGTCGAAAAATGTCATTAAATCACGTAATGTGTAAAAAGCAGCAACTAACTCAGCAGATACCTGAATTGCAATCCCTTGATAACGTAAGCTAATTACATTAGCAATTGTTTGTAAACGAGATCTCAATGATCCAGTGGTATTTTTTTGACTTACTACTTGTGCTAATAACATACACATTAAGTTAAGTACTTTTTCATGATTACCAGCTAGATCGTACATAGTTACAGCTTCTTCTAACAATCCTTTTTTGTAAAGAGTTTCAGCGCAAATATTAATAACTTTATCAACGTTGATCTGGAATTGATCTAAAATACCGGGAAGTCTTCGGTCATTATCAATTTTACCAACTAATAATGAACGATTTTCCGGTGGTGAATTGATGACCATTTCAGCAGCAGAGGCAGCAAACATATTTTGTCCGTTAGGATCTTTCATACATCTCAGTAAGAATAAGTAATGAAGACTCTCTTTTGGATCAGAACATTCAAAACGTTTAATGTACAATAAAATAAGTCTAGCAAAATTTAGTCTTTTTGCTGGTGGTTTATCGGCAGGATCAACTGTTATTAAAGGTGCTAGAACACTTTGACTAAGCGCTAATAAATTGTGTTCATTCATTGCTGCTGCTAGATGAACAGCATGAGGTAAGTGTCGGGCGTTGGCACCTCTTGCGAGAAATTCAATAGCTGCTTCAAATTGTCCAGTTAAAAATAACATTGAAAAATACAAAAATGGTTGTTCATGAGCGTGATAATATGATTCTCCATACTCTTCTAAAATAGTTGTTTGTAAATTCTCAAGAGTTAATTTATTTTCTGTATCTGATTGAGATCTCACTTGACATAATTTAAGCCATAAATAATCATCAGCAGTAGACATCACTTCAGAATGTAAGTCATCAGGATCGCAAGGTACGAGAGTACAGTAAGCTGCTCTTTTATACGGATCTGTAGATGATCTTACGTGCTTACGATAGTGAAGCTTGATAACAGACTCACTTCGAGAACTAGGTCGTCGCTGTGGATTCTCAAGAGCTTCTTCCAGTGCTTGTTTGAATTCTTGAAATGATGAACCACGATTTCCGGAACGACGAGAATTGTCTACAGACTCATCTAATGATTGTCTGTATTCATGTGATGTTAATCCATACTGATTAAGACATTGTAAAGCAGCTTTTAAATCTCCTGCTCTCATGCAATAATAAACAAGAGGCCAAAGTGGTCTATCATTAACTACAGCATCTTCTAAATCACGTAAGTTTTGTACTTTAATTCCAACAAAACTTGCTACTAATGGAACAGTACCCGGAATTCCACCGCGCTTTGCTTGGGCCAAATTTTCATTAACCAATGAATTCATAAATTCACGGTAACGATTTTCCAGATATTTTCGAGCTTGTTCAACTATTTTTTCTTCTACTTCTAAACTGCTACGTGATTTTACTTGATCTCCTTTAATCGTTGGTGGAATATTCACCATACACCCGACCATGTTCCACATGTCCAAAACTTTTTTGTCGTCAAATGATTCCGCAGCTTTTGAAAATGCGTTAAAAAGACTTGGTCTAGTGATACTTCTTAGTACATAGTCGTTGTATGATTTTAATTCTTTGACATAAGCCATTTCAATATTAGACAGTCCAGTCACCATAGAACCAGCCAATTTTGTCCTTTGGGGCGTACCCCTCAAATCAACAAGTTCACCAGAAGGAGCAGTCATTGCATTTATTATCTCAAATCTCATCTGTTTCCATTCTCCAAGCATATGCTCCATTTGCTGAATTCTATTAAGCTCAAATGTCTGTCAAAATAAAAATTAATTATTATTTATAAAACATAAAAAAACATAAATATTAAAAACTATTTCGATAGGAATACTTACGTCTTTGTGAACTTGTTCAATAATTGAAAGAATAGCATTTTCTTTTTCATTTCGTAAATAACTGACAATATCAGTATCTGCGATCGGATCTAAAGGTTCAAACGTACGTCTTGCGCTGAGTGAATTTAATTTCTGAGAAATTTGTGGCAAATCAATACCACGTGAACCTAACAAAAGGTGCCTGTAAAATGGATAAATTTTAGGGCTGTACAATTTGGCCGGATAGGCCGGTTAAAAAAGTTAACTAAGTTAATTAGCCAGTTATTTGGCCAGCTTAGCTAATTTAACCGATTAACCGGTTAACCTCGCTTAACTCAGCTAATTAGCCAACTGCTAAACTGGTTAAATAGCTAATTTTTTATATTCCGGATAGATAATTTTAGTTTCCGGAACGTTTCCGGAACTCTTTAGAAACAGTATTAAAAAAGTTCCAAAAAACATTCAAATAAAGTTTCGGAAAAATTCCTGAAAAGTTCCGAAATGATTCCAAAAAACTTCCGGAAAAGTTTTTAATAAATTTTAAGAATTTCAAATTTTTGGTTACTCAAAAGTTAGTAAGTAAACTTTTTTAATGTTGTTTTCAAAGAGTTCCGAAAAAGTTCCGGAAAAGTTCCTAAAAAATTTGAAGAATTTCAAATTTTTGGTTACTTAAAAGTTTGTAAGTAAATTTTTTTAATACTGTTTCTAAAGAGTTCCTCAAAAGTTCCGGATCGTCTCATATTCGGAACTTTTCTAAGGAATGTTTCAGGAACTTTTTTTTTAACTCGTTTTTTCTGTTCCTCATGATTTTTTTCCCAAAAAACGAGGTTAACATTAATTTCAATACTTATACGCACCTCAGTATACAATAAAAAGCATATAAAAAATTAGCTATTTAACCGGTTTAGCAGTTGGCTAATTAGTTGAGTTAAGCGAGGTTAACCGGTTAAGCTGTTGGCTAATTAGCTAAGCTAATTCGGTTAATCGGTTAAATTAGCTAAGCTGGCCAGCTAACTGGCTAATTAACTTAGCTAACTTTTTTAGCCGGCCTAACCGGCCAAATTGTACAACCCTAATAAATTTAATTTTAGCCAAATTAATCTTCACAACTGAGTTATTAGAACTATTATGATACATAATGATTAAATAACAACTTACGCTTGTACTTGAGTGTCTTGAGTACCAGTTTGTGTTACACGAGACCAAAGTTCATTGGAAGCTTCTAAAATTTGACGAAGATTTCGTTCAACTTGTAACTCAGTAATGCTTTCAACAGTGGCAGACAACTGTTCAGCTGATCTTAATAATTCATTAAAATCTGAATCACTCATGATGACAAATCTCTGTAATCAAATTTTAAATTATAGTATGATATTAGATTGATCAATTTATTTAAAGAATATATAACCTATACATTTATGTTTTTAATGTTTTTACCGCGCTTCTTGATTGACTTATAACCATCAACTTTATAAATTATTTATGTGCTGTATTACGTATATACAAGTCACAAGTCACAAAGTCACATTGGTTATGCTTGGAATATAGAATTAACAATTGTGGGTGCATTCTACTCAAGCGACATCAGTAGTGGTTTCAAATAAGTACTCTTATGGTAATTAATTGGCAATTGGTAAATTGTGCAGTTAATTAACCAGTAAAATAAAGTGGAGAATCGATTAAATCATTAATCTCCCAATTTTTTAGCACTGAGTTGACTGCCGACAGATTCTTATAATAATAATAATAACAATAATATGTTCATATAAAAGAATTAAAAGAAAGGGGAATGAAATACTGAAATATGTAAGAGTAAACATGAGAATGTAAAATATACTTATTTTTCTCTACTTTTTCTAGCTGAAATATAACGACCTCTACAATCCACAGTCTATATTAAAATACTAAGTTAAAGTTCTAAGTTAGAATCTCGCCAATTCATACAAGCGCGTCAAGTGTATCTTTATGATGTTAATTTTTTTTTAAGGTAGCGCTTATTTTGAATTCTGTTGTGATAACATTTAAAGCTAAAATCTCATGTCAAGCATTTATATTCAAAATAAATTTAGTAAATTCCTTTCTACTATTTCAGAAAAACTCTACTCACTAAGAAAACTTTTTAAAATGAAAAATTATTGTTTTATTTAATTTTTTAATATTAAATTTTTATCAAATTTCTTACTAAATTATTTCCTGAAAAGTTTAAATTAAAACTTGACACGTTCATAACAGATCGATGTTAAGAGACATTTTTAAATAATGCCTGATTTGTTTTCTAACAAATCTAAATTTTAAATTAAAGTAAGAATTAAATCAGAAATAAAAAAAAATTTACATTAGAAAATGGAAAATGAACTGTAGGCACAAACTTAGTTTGTATTTTAATACTTTTTTATTAAAATGTAAGATTGTTTAAAATTTATTTGTCTCTTGAAACTTTTTAAAATTTTGTCGACTTTTAAAATTTTTATTACCAGCTAACTTTCCTTGTTTTCGAAGAGAATGTAACAATTGATTCTTTTTAATTATTTCAGATTTCTTGCCCGCATTTTTGGAACCACTTTGAGTATATTGAACATTTATTCTTCGGCCATTTAACTGAGAGTGATGTAATGATAATCCTTTCTGTAATAAATAAACAGTTTATGAGTTTTACAGTTATATAATTTTAAATACTCAAATTTAATAAATTTTTTTTGTTTGATTTAGTTTGTTACCTCATAATCGATACTGTTGCTGAATTCAACATAAGCGAATCCTCGAGGTTCATTTGTTTTTTTAACAGTTGGAATTCTCACACTTATTACTTGGCTGACTTCCTTAAGAAAATGATTTTTAATTTCTTCAACAGTTGCTCTAGAACATTAAAAATATAAAAGTTATTCATCCCACTATTTTGAAATATTAGTTATCAAAAAAAAAAAAAGTGTAACTATGCTTACCCATAAGGGATGTTACCGACAAAAAGAATATGTCGCGTTTTTTTTTGTTGTTGTTCTTTGGCAATCTCTTTTTTTGATTGGTTTATACGATTTGTTTTATTTTCTTCTGCTTCTTCTTTGTTAGACAATGTTTTGATGTTATTGACATTTTCTTTTTTTATTTTATTTGATGGCACTTCATTCTTATTTTTTTTATTTAGGTTTTTTTCATTTTTTGTATTGTGAGTTTTTTTCGCGGGTTGTTGAACAGAATATTCTTTTTCAACACTTGTCTCTTTGTCATCAACAGTAACGTCAGAGCCACATGCTTCTTCTGTAAATTCTTCTTCAACTTGTTTCTTCGGTAACGCTGTTGCGGAAATATTTTCTTGTACGCTTAATTTTTTTTTTAATTTAGCTAAATTTTTACGGGCACTTTTTGTAAGATTGTCTTTGCTAGAAAGAATTTCAATTTTTTTTTTCAATTCTTCCACACTGTAATTTATTTTTTTTGGCTCACTTTCTTCTACGACATTTACAGTCTCCGATGAAACATGATCTGATTCATCAATTGGATTTTCCAATTTAATTTTTTTCGCAGTAGTCTGATCCATATTATCTTTGGGAACATCTAAACTTTTTGCCTTTCTTTTTTTTTTTTTGAATAGATTCATCCGACGGATTACATTCATTATTTTTATTTTTCAAAGCTTTCTTTTTAGGAGTCTTCATGTTTTCTAGTTTTGGTGGTTTCATTTTCTATGTGTTTTGATGTTTTACTTAACTTTATGCTGCTTGATGGAACAAATTAACTTATTAAGTAATCTAATTTTTTTTTTTAATTTGCATGAATGTACATGTAACAAATATTTATTAATTTTTTTTAAATTTTTGAAACCAAATAAAGTATTAATAGATTAAAAATAAAAAAATGCATATTCAGAAAATTTCAAAATTAATAATATGTGCATATTCTATTCTCTAATGTCACATTTTTAATAATTTTCTTTTCATAATTATAGTACAAAATTTGCTTTATGCCTGTTTCATCTACATTCATTCAATCCCTGATTAAAAAAAAGTATTGAAAAGTATTGAAAAAGTATGTAATTCAATACTTTTTCAATACTTTTCACACACTGTATATCTATATATACATACAATATAGATATACAGTTGCATGGTTCAATACTTTTTTTAAATCAGGGATTTGTATCTAATTATGCTATGGTAAATAATGAAAGATTTGATTAATTAATTGTAAATTAAAAACCAATAAAATCATAAAATACAAAAAAATTTTGTAAATTTTTCATATTTTCATTATTTTTAAATAGATTAAAAAATACTTACGTTTCTTGATTACCTATTCATAAATTTTGAACCGTTTCTTGAAAATTTTTTGTTTTGTCTACAGCACACGTGGTAATTTTTAGGTTACTTGAATCAAATAATTGTCATTGGCCGAACTGAGTAAATTCTATATAATAAGAGTTTTGACGTCCCTACTTTGCTTATTTGTCATATGATTTCCTTACCTCACTTTGAGTAATTTTAGGGTGTGTGTGTGTAAAATACATAGTATCATAATCACACTCGACGATGGGTTAGCGTCGAAATGTTGAAATGTTGCCTCTCCGGATAATTATTATACATTATCGCCATCTCGATGAAGTGTAGGAGCGCTAAATTATAAAAACTTTATATTTTCAATAAGGTAAGAGCCCCAGTAGCTGCTCACTCCATGTATTTGTATATCTGCATTTGTGAATATAGATATACAAATACATGGAGTAAGCAGGTACTGGTTCCTGAGCAGGTACTGGGGATTTTTACCTTAACAGAATTGCAACAATCGATGGAACTATTCATTAATTTTTCACAATCAAATTAAAATAATTGATACTGACAAGTAATCGACGATTAATCGCAAGAAATCATTAATTTTAAAAAGTCGATTTATTAAACAAATTTATCACATCAGAATGTAATTATAACATCAGTTGAAAAAAAAAAAAAAAAAAAAAAAAAAAAAAAACACACACACACACACACACTCGAGGCAGAAGAGATACTGCTACCGGGCGCGTCTCCCCGAGCGGATGGGAGAACGCTCGCTGTCCTTGGATGACACTTGGATAATCTCTTAGTTGATGGGGTACAGCGGGTAGGAGTCAAGCAAAATAACCAAACAAAATACGCTCCCGTGGACAAAACTCCCCTTTAATGGGTTGGTCACACTAACTGACCTAACGAGACGATCGGTCCCTGCTGTAACTCACTGGGAGTGTCCGGAACCTGTATCGTAGTTTCCGACGATGCAGGCCACGGCTGATGTGAGCTTGCTCTGCCGAGGTGTAAGTTGCAGTAGTGGATCAGGAGCTAGTCACTGCGGGCCTTGATCAGGAAGTACGCAGCGAGTGTCAGAGATCGGAATCTTCACCGCCACGAGCGAGTCTAGTCCGTCCGTGTATTCCAGGACTGGCTAAGTGTCGGCTAGGCCTCAGAGAACTGGGGTAGGAGTACTATCTCCGAGGGTACACCCGCTCCTAGGTATGACAACCCGCTCCACTCCGTACGATGAGCTGGTGAATCAAAAAGCATGAGTAATTTACAGGAAACAAACAAGAATAAAAACGGGCTTCATGCCCAACAAGCAGCGATTGAAGCAAGCGCTGAAATGAAGAGAACGCAAGCGCCGGAGCGCCTTGAAAAGCTGACCATTGAACTACAAGAGTTTGTCCAAACTAAGGTCAACACCCACAAGGAGATTAAGACCAAGACAACCGGTGTAGTCAATGCTCTTAGAAGATACAAGAAACTGGACGAGGAATGGCAGTCATCACGACGACTAACGCCTCGCATTACGCCAGAGAAAGGCAGTCAAGCTGTTTTTAAGACTGAGGAATCAATGGACACCGGTGCCGACGGTGACGGTGAATCTGTTACTGACGACAAGAGTGAAGGTGCTCCCAAGTCTAATAAGAAGAAGGACCGAAACTCGCCAGATCCAACAGAAAGGCAAGTGGCAAAGAAGAAGGACCTGAAGTCAACTCCTCCGAAAGACGTGACGAAGCAGAATGCCGAAAATAAAGACGCAGCTGCCTGGCAAAACGTCCAACCAAGGACGGAGAAGAGGAGACCAGCCGACGAGCA